CGAACAACCCTGAGCCCTGACCCAAACTCTGTGAGGCCTGAAGCCCTCAACCCCTGAACCCTAAACCTAAACCCTAAACCCCAAATACCCTAACAGCTAAACCCTAAATATCCTAAACCCTAAACCCCACATGCGGTCAAGGAACCTTGCTGGGCAAGGGAGAGATGCCACTTCCGATAGCTGGTGCCATTGACGTGCTTGGTGTTAAGGAGCGGTACCTTTGGCAGCTCGTGATTCATCATATGGGGTTTAGGTTGGGATGTTCCCCCCTTATACTAACAGTAGGGATTATCGTACCCCCTGTTATAGTAGAACATCCCAAGGTTTAGGGATTCAGGGCTTAGGGCTTTGGAAGAAAACCGACAATAATGTGGATTGCCAATCTCAAAAATATTATGGACACTACAACTATCGTATGGCTCCACGACCAGGGTCATTACTTAAGGCCGAGTGACCCGTCTTAGTCTCCGCAGGGAAGTTGACTTGAAGGTTCATGTCTACATTTTAGTAAGTGCGTGGGATTTAAGGTTTCAGAGGTACATGTCTGTGAATAATATGTATATGTGTAGTATCCCAAGAGCCCCAAAACCCTAAACACCGTGTGCCTAAACCCCTAAACCCCTAAGTATCTCAAGGGCCTGCCCCTACACAGCCGGCCGAAAGATTCTTGGAGAGGGCCCACGACTTGAGGGAGCCCGGGAGTTGAAAGGGGCTTAGAGTTTGGGGCTTAAGGTTTGGGGTTTAGGGTTTAGGGTTTAGGGTTTAGGGTTTAGGGTTTAGGGTTTAGGGTTTAGGGTTTAGGGTTTAGGGTTTGGGGTTTCATCTATGCACGCTTTCCATGCAGTTTGTTTTCGTTTTGTTTGTGGGAATGTAGGGTTGAAGCCCTGCCGGGGCACTGGATCATAGAACCATTCTAGAACTGGCTCATCTTCGACCGGATCAAGCCTGGCGCAGAATGTCACAAAGTGAAGAACACCCATTTGGGGTAGTTTTCTAAATAGGCCCCCTTTGGGGGGTCCTTATTTTGTGCCTAGGCATACCCCCTGTACTGAGAAATACCCACATATGGGGGGAAGAGCCCACAGAGATGAGTCTCAGGGTTGAGTTCCCGGGAGAATCTATAAGAGATTGTGATGAACCCATGGATTTTGCCTTTTGGGTTTCGGGTTAAGGGTGTAGAGTGTAGGGTGTAGGGTTTAGGGTTTAGGGTTTGGGGTTTAGGGTTTAGGGTTTGGGGTTTGGGGTTTGGGGTTTGGGGTTTGGGGTTTGGGTTTGGGGTTGAGTCCTGCCTCATCTGGATGGCTTCCAGCGGCTCCACATCCAAGACGTTGTCGCCATAGTCCAGCGGTGGCTCCTCGTCATCAAAAGGGGGTTTTAGGGTTTAGGGTTTAGGGTTTAGGGTTTAGGGTTTAGGGTTTAGGGTTTAGGGTTTAGGGTTTGAATGTGGCTCCTCGTCGTCAAAAGGAGGGAAGCGCATTCGCTTGAAGTGGCGCCGATCTCCTCGCGGGCGGAAGTCAGCTAGAGCCAAAACCGTGAAGCCTGACCACCTTGAAAGCCCAACCCCTGACTGTTTGCACATACATCTAGATCGTATCAACATCTATGTCTCTATCCATCTATCTATCTCTAAGATGATCATTATACAGATATATATATATATGTTGTTCACAACTTCAGATGTTGCACACATTTTCAATGGCCACCGCCGAGTCACGCTTCTCTCGGCGCATCATGATCCACATGGTACCCCACTGGGCAAGGTACACAGGCTCGATGACCTGCCAGCATGAACAATTCACATGACGATTTCTGATATCTGAGGGATTCAGCTCAGGGATGTTCCGTGCTCAGGATTTTGTAACTGCAACGCTTTTCAAGGCGTTAAGAGCACCGAAACTCCACATTGCCTTCTGCATCTCCGCGCAGAAAGTGATGGCGCCGCTGCAGTGGTACACCGTACGGCAATTGCGGATCTGCTGCCACGGAACTGGAATGTTTTCCTGGGTAGCACCAGGGGTTTACAACGAGGAACGGAGACCAAGATGCCGAGGCTGCTTAGCTTCGGGGGACGTCTCGAGCGGCTTCCAAATGCTCCGAGGCTCGAGAAGCTTGTACACCGCGTGCGGCAAGTACTTCAGCGCACCCAAGTAAATACGCTTGTCATGTCGGAACTTCCGCGCGGTCATGTCTCCGTGGTCCTGACGACCCAGAGAGGCCCCCAAAATACTTGGAGGGCTCAGAGTTATGGCTCAGAACCAGGGTTTGGATTTCAGTGGCCCTGATGAAGGAATGGACCGTACATGACACGGGACGGTTCCTTACGTTAAAGGCACCCCTAAACCCTAAACCCTAATACCCGAATACCCTAATACCCTAAAACCCTAAACCCTAAACCCTAAATCAAAGGCCAACCCCTCCTTGATGATCTTTCGGATATGCTCTGGCGGCCTCAAGGATGCTCCAAACAAGACAAAACAGTTGAGCGATTTAGGGTTTAGGGTTTAGGGTTTAGGGTTTAGGGTTTAGGGTTTAGGGTTTAGGGTTCAGGGTTCAGGGTTCAGGGTTTTGGTTTTCGGATTCAGGGTTTAAAGGTTAGGGATGTGGGTTTTTGGCAGCTCCCTAGATTCTGCATGCTGGACTTGGCAGAAAAGGGCCCACAGCTTCGAGAGCTGACCAAACACACCCCTAAAGCCCAAACCCTGCACCCCGTACATACCCCGATCCTGACCTCGAAGCCCTGAACTCCTGAGCCCCAGAGCCCCACAAAAACACCTAAAACCCCAGAACCCACAAAAACCACCTAAAACCACGAACAAAAACCTAAACCCGCCAAGAAAAATCGCCAACGGAAAACCGAAACCCACCAAAAAAGGCACCAACCAAAACCGAAGACCTGAACCCTAAACCCGAAACCCTAAACCCTAAACCCTGAACCCCAAAGGGAGGCCAAACGTGGCGAGGAGCATCTCCTCCTTCTGCTGCTCCACCACACCAAACCTGGCGCAAAGATTCCCAGCTTTTCGTTTAGGGTTTAGGGTTTAGGGTTTAGGGTTTAGGGGTTAGGGGTTTAGGGTTTAGGGTTTAGGGTTTAGGGTTTAGGGTTTAGGGTTTAGGGTTTCGGGTTTCGGGTTTAGGGTTTAGGGTTTAGGGTTTAGTTCATGGGGGGTAGGTACCTAGGGAACCTTAGGGAAGCTGAGGGAGCCTTACGGAGTACATTTTTTGATAGGAAAATCTAAGGAATGAAGGGAGGGAGGGGATAAGCCAAACCCTAGAGAAAAACAACTCAATAAATCTCAAATTCGTTCTCCAGCCAAGGCCCCACCCAGCTTGCCAACTTGCCATCGCAGACTGTGGATTTCAAAGTGTGGTGTTTTTGCTTCTTGGGATTTTTAAAGAGGAGCTCAAGTCCTGGGCGCCCCGACTTGCGCTTCTCCCCGTAGCGCTTGGCATTCAAGGACTGCCACTTTCGTGCTTTCTCATCAAGCAGCTCCTCGGCCATGACCACTTGGAGGTTCATGGGTACTTGTAACACCAGTTATAAGTCTACTTATAACCTACTTAGGGGACTTAGGGGGCTTATAAGTACAGCTAGAATTGGGGGTTATAAGTGCCCTGAAACTCCAAGCAAGCAACATGAATGCAGCTCCATGCTTGCCCGCCGTGGGACTTACTAGAAACAGGGTGGACTTGTTTGCCTCATGCCAGGACTGGCCAAGCGTCTTCCTGGGTCTTGTTCGAGGTCACAGCCGGCCTCACAAGAGGTCAACAAAGAAGCCAAGTCGGCTGGGTAGGTTTAGTGAGGGGTCGGTGTTGGGATGTTCCCCCTTCTCATATCAATGGGGATTCTAGTAGGGGTGGGTACTATAATCGACCAAAACCCCCATTAAGGACTGTAAGTCTATCTTAGGGAGCAAGGTCGGTGAGCACAACGAGCACGCGACGTCGCAGGACCGGTCCAAGCTCCCGGCTTCGGAGGCTCCTGGGGTGGGGCCTGTGGCAGACGCGCAGCTGCAGCCGCCTCGCAGACTCGCAGGGGCCACAGGCAAACAGCCGAAGAAAAACACTGCCCGTGCACCAGCACGGGATATCTCACGAAGCACCTCGATTTCAAGACAGGCTCAGAGGAACACAACACTTCCTGGTGCGTCTGGTGTGTCAAGAATCGTGCCAGGGCCTGTGCCATTTGCTGCTGCTGCTGCATCCCCGGCCTGTGCACACAGGCAAGAGAAAACTGCAACATGGACCTCAACAGCCACCTAACCACCCAACACCACCCCCAGCCCCAAAAAAACAACTGCAAATGAACCCCACCCCCGGAAGCCCCCCCACCTCCCCCAACCCCGGAAATCCCCCCCGAAGAAAGGCGGCCGCCGAGCGGCATTCCGGGAGGCAGGGCGAACGGGTTCAGAGCCAAGCTGTGGCTTGGCATCTGGCCCATCTGGCCCATCTGGCCCTGCCCCGGAAAATTGAACATGGTCGCACCTGGGAGGACAGTACTTTGTTGGGGATTTCAGGGCAGAAGGGTCTTGTGTTCTAGATGTTTTGTGGGATTTCTTGGGGCCCCCTGTGCCCCAGGGCTCTTTGCGCGTTTGGGGGTGTTCAGGGCTGCTCGAAGGCAAGAAGGGAAGGGCTTCGGCAGGCTCAGGCTGGCACGACCAGGGTGATCTGCGAACCACGCTCCTCCTGTCTAATAACTACCTGTCTACAAAGCACACCTCTTGATCCTGAATCTGTCTGCATGCAATGAGTCTCTGCGGCAGAAAGGCATGGGAGAGGTCAAATGCTTGCGCAGCTATAGTTAGGGCACCGAATCTAAGCTCTTCGTTGGGCAACAACTGGCAACATCACCGCTCTGCGCCGTCTCAGCTATGAGTCTCCCTTTCGCGATCTGGAGCTGCAGCACACGACGCAAATCGAGACTCGTGTGCCTTTGGCATATGTCGAGGCAGCACAAACAGCTTGGCTCAACTTTAAAATATACATTAACGAAGCAGCGCTGCTCACGCTGGCGCTGCTAAGGATTGGAAGATTGCAGGCAAGCTTTGCAGCGAGCTGCCATCACAGCGCCAAGCGCAGCGGTCACATACCCGGGCGGAGTCAATACACAACTCTGGGATGGAGCGTCGCGAAGTCGCACAGCCAAGGCACACAACCAAACCGCACATGCGACAGTTCGTCATAGCATGGCATCGCATCTTCCCACTTCGCGCCGTGTTCATCCACTCATAGCGGCTTCCGCAGCAAGGACATCTCTCCCCAGCGTCTGCAAACCTTTGCCACGCAACATCAGTGGCTGAAGGCCGTTTCGATTGCACCGCGAGGAGAGCCTGGCACGTGGCAGCGGCACCGACAGCTCTTTGAGCTGGAAAGAGGCATACAGGACCCCATAGGTGTATAGATCTATCTACATCTGCCATCCTTATATATACATATATATATATATATATACATTAGTTCGCTTATTTTGGTGGCATGTTTGGGGGAGGTTTCAACTGAATGCGATGTTCGGACTGCTCGGGAGGGAGGGGTCGAAAAAGCAGGACTTGGCGCGCCTGGTGAATCGCCTGCGCCGTGTGATCGGCAAACCTATACTGAACTTGGAACCTCAGCAAAAATTATAATGCTGCTGCTGTTTCTTAGGAATTCTAGTGCCCAGGAATGAAAAACTATTCATAATGTTTTGCCTGTTTCTTAGGAATTCTAGTACCCAAGAAGCAAAAAAAGCTATTTCCAAGTACCCCTAAGAAACATGCGCTTGTCCAGAACAAGCCGGCGCAGTGGTCGGATCCCGCACGGGACCAGCGCTGCTTCAAGGTGTCCGCACACTCCTGGGCTCTTCTTTGAGGGCTTCTTGAGGGTTTTTGGGTTTGGGGTTTAGGGTGTAGGGTTTAAGGTTTAGGGTTTAGGGTTTAGGGTTTAGGATTCAAGAATTTGGATTACCAAAATCCGGGCGCTAGATGATTTCTGATATGAAGCAGAGTGAATCTTCACTGGAACATCTAAATAAGCACACCACATACACACACCCACCAATGTTTAAGTAACCCCGTGTACTCTCACCAAAACCATGGCACAAACCCCTAACTTTATAAAGGCCTCGGGTAACTTGGTTTAAGTTCCTTAACAGAACCAAGACTCGATGGATCCAGACAATGTTGCCAGGGACATACCTGCAGTGAGGTTACAATAGGTACCAGCAGGTTACAACAGGTTACAACAGGTTACAACAGGTTGCAATAGATTACAACAGGTTGCAATAGGTTGCAATAGGTTGCAATAGGTTGCAATGGGTTGCAATAGGTTACAATAGGCTGCAATAGACTACACATGTGCGGCCCTTCGGCACATGAGCACTGGAGAAATGAGCCAAAATGCGCATACAGAGAAGCCATTAACTTGACTGCATGCATGAGCCAAGGCATTGCCAAGACGCAAGTCCTCCATCACATCATCCATGCCATCTGGAGCCTCTGCGGTCCAGGCGTCGTGGGCAATGTGCGAATCTGGCGAGCGGCCCGGCTTCGCGGGGCTTGCGGGCTTCGCATGCGGCAAATCTCGCAGCGGCGTGCCGTCCCGAAATCGAGGGGCCCAGACACTCGTGAGCCGTTCTACGTAGTGCTGCACGTCTTCGTCCAGGGCAGCACCACTCTCTTCGGCACAGGCTCGAATCTCAGAGCCGAGCTGCGCGAGAGTACCATTGCTGAGGCGTGGCACGACGTCCATGGAGTTGACCACCGAAGTGAAAAAGGGCTTCATCTCCTCTGCAGTTGTTCGATCTACAATGGATGGCATGGCGTAGCCGATGCCAAAGGCCTGGCCTTCACGTCCCCGAGGCAGCCGCTCCCCACCGGTACCATGCCGCAGCAGCCAGGTCAGCAGAGCCGCGACGCCGCCCCCCAGGCTGTGCCCTGTGAGGACGATGCGGTAGCCGGCGGTCGCCAGGGTCCGCAGGGTCGGTCGGAGCTCCGCTTCGAGTGCCACGGCTGCAGCCAGCACGCCGCTGTGGGCCATGAGCGTGGCGGAGCCGTCGGAGGTCTCGTACTTCGCGGGAACCGCGTCGAAGTCGGTGAAGAGGTCTCCACCACGCGACCTGGCACAAAGAAGCCACGGAACGCTTACTACGGCGAGGGCCATCGAATCAATGATGGAAGAAAGGAAAAGGAGGCAAACAGAAAAGCAAGCAAACAAAAAACAAACAAACAAACAAAAGACGTGCTCTGGTCAGGGAACTGCTCGACGTCAGTGCCACGAATGGACAGGGCCGCGGTCCGATGCTCAGAACTCAGGAAGAGGGCCCAGGCGGGCTTGTGCTTCCAGCTTTCGCTCAGTCGCTCCGTCACCAGGCGCCAGTTCTGCTGCAGGGCAAAACGCTGCACCTCAAACGGAGTCTCGTGGTACGGCGCATACGTTCCTTCAGGGCCGTGCATCGGTGGTTCACTGAGAGCCCTGGAATTCATGAGCCGATTTAGTGACCTCGGCACCTATCAGTGCCATGCTGATGAGCGCTTGCAGCAGTTCCGGGGGGACGGGCTTTCCGACTTGACTGGCAAGTCGGCGATTTTCATCCGGGGCGTCTCGCACAGCCTTCCTCTGCTCGGCACTCAAGTAGAGGATCCCTGAGTCCAGGGGCCCCGGCCATTGAGAGGTCGGTAAGGGCGCTTAAGAGGGCTGTCTCTTTTCGTCTCCCGGGCCTACGAGCAGGTCCTTGGGCGGAATATCTTGCAATGCAGAGCTGAAGCTCAGCAAGGTCTTGATCCCCTGCATGATCTCCTCACGCAAGAGGAAGCCCAGAATACCATACTGGCCGTAGTTCCACACCACGTCCTTTGCTTGCTTCTTGCAAGGCAAGCTGGCGGCCTAAAGCCCCCCCCAAGCGAACGTCCCTCGATTCCTCTCTAATCCGTCAACCCTACACCAAGTACAGCAAGCGCAGCCCACCCCTGACCTCTCTCCCCTCCGCCACGCATCCACCGCCCGCACCCCCAGCGCCCAGGGAAGCGAAAGCAGCGGGGCGGCGCGGCGGGCGCCTTCTACAGCGAAACCACCGGCCCGCCACAGCTTCTCCTGGACCTCAAGAAGCAAGAAAACATGAGCACAAAACACACAGAACACACAGCACACGAATGAGCAAAAACGGCCACAAAGGCAGCAAAGAACGGAGAGCATCCTTCGACATCCCCCTGCGCCCTGAGCCTCTCACGGTGTCGACTCGGTTGGCCTCATAGAGTGGAAAGGCTTCCGGATCTTCCAGGAAAGCAGAGACTCGAAGGCAGTGATCCGCATACCTGAATCCCCCCCCAAAGGAGCAGATTTAGGGTTTTTAAAGGTTAAAAACACTGGCAGTAATCCGCATACCTGAAATCCCCCCGCAAAGGAGCAGATGAACTGTTGAGCTGCACTGTACCTCTGGATCCTGTACTCGGAACAGGCTGAGGCCCATATTGAGACACTCTCACTGAGCCATCAAGGCAATATGGGGGTTTCCGAAAATAGGGGTACCCATTTTGGTAGGTCCCTATACGGGGACTCTATTCTACTAGGGTATAAAAGGGGCACCCCCACATTGAAGATGCATCCGGCAGGCTTGCAGGCAGTGTCAACGACTGCACTCGCTGCCGTCCGCGCGTGCACCCGCGCAGTTGCCACGTGTAGGCAATCCTTGCCTCGGCTGCCCCTAAACCCTAGCCTGAACCCTCTGCCTCGGCTGCCCCTAAACCCTAGCCTGAACCCTCAACCATCCCTCAACCCTGAACCCTAAAGCCTAAATCCTAAACCGTTGTTCCTCAACCCTAAACCCAAAACCCCAAACCCAAACCCCAAACCCCAAACCCCAAGCCCCAAACCCCGAACCCCAAACGCAAAACCCTAAACCCTAAAACCCAAACCGTAAACCCAAAGGCCCATCCGCGGCAGCCGAGGCACAGATCCGCTCTTCTTTGTCGTACAACCTGCGACAAAGCAGCCCTGAAACAGCCCCAAACCCTCAACCCGAAACCCTAAGGCCTCAGCCCTAAACCCTAAACCCTATTTCTAAACCTTTGATGTTTGCGTCTTGTGGGCCTCTGGTCTCTGTCCTGCCCATGTCAGGAGTCACCATTTTCGGATGGACGTAACATTCAAGGACCGACATCATGAGCATCAAAGCCACAAGGCTAGTACGAGCTTCTGCACTGCACTACGCATGCGGACCCGGACCCTGGCAATCGTAGGAGGGCCAGTACTGATTGGAGTGCCACCGCAAATAGCAAACATGAGATGTGGGAAGCTGAATGCCCTCTCAGATGCGACTTGCTGGATCGTCGCGGTCAGTGGTAGCCGTACATACCGATAGCCCCAGCGAAAAGTTGGGCAGGACTTAAATTCAGGCGGCTTGGGGCAAAGCGTGGCGTCCGCTGTCAAGCCCTCAGCGACTTTGGGTAGAATAAGAGCAATGAGACCAACAACATCGAACCTAAGCAAGTTCTGATGTTATGATGCTAAACCTGTTAAGTTATAAATATACTACCGAACCTCGCATTCGGGCCTCGGGGCTTTCTAGTGTTACGTCCTGGACGTGCTCAGCTCAGCAAAGGCGGCCTGGCTTTGTGCGGGCAGCGAGCAACATTCACCAGGCAGCCCGCAACGCCGCAAAGGCAAACAGCGCATAAGGACCTGGGCAAAAAAAAACACACACACACACACACACACACACAGTGTAACATCCCAATGAGGTCCTAAAGCCTACCGCAACAGAAACACCTAAAGCAGCCCCCCAAAACCGAAAGCGCCAGGCCCACCCCCAGACCCCAAAACACCAAACCCCAAACCCTGAACCCTAAACCCAAACCCTAAACCCCAAACCCTAAACCCTAAACCTCCGACTCAGGCCTCCCACATGCACGGCAATGGTGCCGCAAGGAGCCCGGCAGCTTCGTGAAGACCAAGCCACCTCGGGTTAGGGTTTAGGGTTTAGGGTTTAGGGTTTAGGGTTTAGGGTTTAGGGTTTAGGGTTTAGGGTTTAGGGTTTAGGGTTTAGGGTTTAGGGTTTAGGGTTTAGGGTTTAGGGTTTAGGGTTTAGGCTTCAGGGTTCAGGGTTCAGGGTTTAGGGTTTTGGGTTTAGGGTTTAGGCTTTAGGGTTCAGGGTTTAGGGTTTAGGCTTTAGGGTTTAGGGTTTAGGGTTTAGGGTTTGGGGTTTGGGGTTTAGGGTTTAGGGTTTAGGATTTAGGGGTTACGGCCTTGTAGAGCGCCGAACAATCCAAGCAGGGTTTGGGGTTTGGAGTTTAGGGTTTAGGGTTTAGAATTTAGGGTTTAGGGTTTAGGGCTTAGGTGCTAAGAAAAATCCCAAAAATGTTGATAGGGCTTTGCCATTCTTCTGCAAACTACAATCACAGAACATGTCATTTCGGGTAGGGTTTTGGCTTTTATCGCCTTCCCCACACTTTGCCGGAATGTGCAGCCCAAGTTACATGCCGCGCAGTCCACTGCTTCCTCCAGCGTCGCCGCAGGACCATAAATTCCAAGGCGTGGTGTCGAAGCTGCCAGGCATGCGGAGAAGAAAGCCGCCCGGGCTGCCCGCACGGCCTCAGGCCCCAAATCCGACCCCAATCCAACGGGAGAATGCCTCGCAACACTTGCCGTCCGCTGGGCCCCTGTACCGTGCACGCAGCGGCTCTCGCCGAGGCGTAGCCACGGCATTCGGAGCAAACACTGAGGCGGCGGGCCTGCGGATCTGCTATTTCCACTTGATGGCTTGGGGTCCCAGACTTGGGTCGTTTGCAAAAGATTGCTGTGAGGTCAGTGCAGCCCTTTGAATTACTCTGCTTCGCATCTCGACTATGATGGTGCAGCAGCCGCGTGCCCAGCTGTTTCATCCCACAGGTCGAGGCTGCAAAAAAAAACCGCTGCGCCGGGCCTTCCCAACATCGGAAGGATGAAGCTCGGCATGAAGCGAGCAAAGGCTGAGGCCGCCTAAGTTCATCTGACTACAGAAAGCACGAATCCAGGTGCTGGTGCCAGGTGCCCGGCAGACTTCACAACTGGCAGTGGAAGCCGCGTCACATTCCTGAGTTCATTTGACTTCTCGATGCCTATGTCATCTGCCACCAACCAAAGAAAGTACTCAAGTCCAATCCACAGACTGAAGCTGAAGCTTCATTGGTATATGGCTTGCACTCACAGGCATGGTAACTTCAGGGCCCTGGTTGGCCAAGTACGGGAGTCTATCCCCGATGAATGCCCCTTCCTTCACACTGCCAAATCTTGGGCAGGCGGGCTTCTACAGTATGTGTGACTCTCGCGGGGGGACATGCCAGGGCTCAATGCAGAACTTCGTCGTTTCTGGGCGTGATTGATGATGGCAGCCGGTGTGCAACGCCTTCTGGCGCTGGGCCATGGCACGGATCTGCCGTGTCTGCCTCCAGTCTGAAGCAGGGTTGAGGAACTGACTCGAAATCTCCATTTCTCTCAAAAACCGACACCCAAACCCCATGAAGCTCGGACATGTATGCCCCTACACGATGGAGACTGGTTGGGCAACTCCCAGCCTGAGGCAGTCCTGCAGTCAGAATCGGAATCATGACACTTGCTAACGAGAAAAGAATTTAAGAACATGATGTTTCCCAGATGAAGGTTCGGGCAACTAGGCCAAAGGGTCTGCAGAGTTTTCGATTGAGCCATGTATGTGGGATGCCCTGCCTCGGCTCGTGCATCTGAGGGTGTTACAAAGAGCGACTCGCCTGTTTAAACCCTCCCCCCCCAGCCCACCCCCTAAGCCACCGCCCCAAAAAGCTCCCACTTTTGGCATAGCGACCGTAGGTCTAAGAGTCTAGGGGCTTTCATGAAAAGGGTGAGTTACGCATCATGGCAGCGTCCTTGTGATCCGCCGCGATGTGCTCGGCTTGTGGACGGCAAGCGGCACACACATAGGCGCGGCTGATGTTGTCCGGGAGCGCCCCGGCAGGAAAGTCGAAGGGCTGCGCGTGCTCGGAGCAGAAGCGCTGGTTGCACAGAAGGCACTCCTGCGACAACCGGACATCCCCCCAAACCTCGGGGCCCAAACCCAAACCCCAAAGCAAACGCAGTAAACCTCCACAGAACCCTAAACGCCAAGACCTCAACCCAAAGCCCCCGAAGCTTCCGGAGGACCCCCTAAGCCCTCCGCCTGCAGAAAGGCTAGAGTCTGCAGAAAGCGGTTGAAGCCGTCCTCTGCCTGGCAAGGGCTTAGGGTTGTTTAAGGCTTAGTGCCATAGCCGAAAGGATGAACAGGCTTCGGGGTTTAGGGTGTAGGGTTTAGGGTTTAGGGTTTAGGGTGCTTTGAGGTTTTTTATGGTTTAGGGTTTAGACAGCACTTATTCGGCTGAAGCTCCGGAAGCGCAGGAATCCCGAAATGCTTCTGGCCCTACCCCAGATGCAAAGCCGCCTTCTCGCAAGCTGGGCACTCCCTCCTCTTGGGCCAGTTCATGGATGAGGTGTAGTCCTTGTCTTTCAGGGTTTAGGCTTTAGGGTGTGGAGGGCTCCATCTTGAAGTTGAAGGCTTTTGGAGAGTTTCAAGGGTGATTCGGAGCTTACGGTTGCTTCGCTCCAAAATTCTCAAGGGCCAGCCCTTGGTAGCGCGGAAGAGTGCAGAGGGTCTAGGAGTCTGGGGTTTAGGGCTTTGGTAAGGCTTGAGAGGTTTGAGATTCTATTTAAACCGCGTGCGCACATGTCCCAAGAAAATTAACTAACACTATACTAACACTGAACCCTTACATACACCCAAAACTCCGAATCCAGAACTCTATACCACCACCAAGGGTTCCCCTATTTCCGGAAATCCACAAGTCAGCCAGATTGCAAGCAAAGCTCCAGTATCTTTTGCATGCCAACCCGGGAGCTTGCTGGCAACATCGCGGCCGTCGCATCACCTGAAGCTTGTCTGACTGTTGGTTAGTAAGGAATGAGGGAATGAGGTACCCTATATCCCCTGCCTATACCCTTCAAGGGATCTTTCCCTCATTCCCTACTAACCAACAGTAAGTTGTACTCAACACAGAAATTCCTCCTGCGGAGCCCGCGACAGTGACAATAGACTATGCGAAGATACTGCTGCTTTGTGCAGCTGCCGACAAAGGGGAACCTGTACACATGTCTGAATTTCTTCAAACAAGGTGTCCGGAAACAAAGCAGCCGGCCTTCAATCGTCTCAGCAGCCTCTGCAACCTCCTGAACAAGTTAGCTGCGCAAGCGTTGGCACCGAGGAGCAACCATGTGAGCTAACGCCAGACTCCCCATGCAGCATCCAGGATGCAAAAACCTGCAAGAAGCATCAGAAGGCCGAAGCCTAGTGATTTCCGCAAAAAGGACGAGGAAAGACCCTTGCCCATTAGCATTAGCCCCCCTGTGCGCTCTCTGCAAGTACTCAGAATTGTCCTCGGGGTCGTCAGAACTCGGGATGGTGGCCTCAGAACTTCCAGAACACAGGACAGCAGTAGCCAACGCATCATCTGAGCGCCCACAGATCAGATGTGCATACAACTTTGTAGTGGAATTGCTTGGATCGGTTGCATCGTATCTTAAGAGCCTGGCCATCCTGGCATGGGCAGGCTCCGACGCAAGTGCTGCAAAAACGTGCTATCACACGTCCAGCTGTGCGATTCTGTATGATTCTCTGCGACTCAATCCAGGGAGGGCAGGCTTGTCATATCTTGTCACATCGCAGCCGATGGTGGCAGGTGCTGAAACACAGATCTATCATACCGCCAACTGCGCGATCCTGTCGAATTCTGTGCGACACCAAAGAGGACAGAAGCTTTTCATGTACCGGTCTGAGCCAAAGCACGACTGTCACGGGCTGAAACCCCACAGAAAATGCCAGCAACGCAACCGAAGAGAGTGACGACAAAAGTGCACTCAGGAAAGCAGAAGACGCAATTGCAACATACAACATGAATCCACGCCCTGTGCTAAAAAAAATTTTAATGACTCGCATACTCTCTCAAGTCCATGTCCAAAGATCTAACTGAAAACCAAAAGCCTCAACAGCCGCCAATACCCTGTGCCTCGCTTCCTTGAAAAACTGCTAGTTTCGCAATGGTTCCTTCCGAAACTCTTTGTCTCCAACAGCAACCGGGAAATGGAAATGGCTCAGAATTGAAACCGTGACATGAACAAGATGACAAGCCCAAAATTCTAAACATCATTGAGAACTTCCTGTGCTGACTTCTTCTCCTTTCGGCTGACTTTCTTGGCTGAATCCTAGTAGCAATACTTGAGCGAAGTGAAAATAAAAAGCGAATATGGTCTCTTGTGGGAGGGCGGTGTCTTTGGGGTTCTGCTTCAAGAGGGGCGGGGAGAGGGGATCCAAGCAGGGTTGAAAGCTTCACTGATCTATCCCACCAACAAATCACTTTCTGGCTTGTCTTTCAAGCTGTCCCGAACCCGTAAAATTTAACGTCAATGGCCCCTAACCTGAGCGTAGAGCTTAGCTACCTCTACGTACGACGACCTCTCCAACCAAGGAACAGAAGTTAGAGTTTAGGGCTCTGTAATGCAAGGAACATTCACCATTCCTAAATCCTGAGTTTGAGGGCCTGAGGGTCTGTCCGTGTTGAATTACCGCAACTTTTCTCCCCTCGACTACGGCACTGCTGGTGTACTGACTATTGTGAATTACGTAAGGCTTTGTCCATCAAAAGACACCGCCCCGATACAAACCATGGCAGGCAACGGGGTTTCTAAGTCATATAAGCGCGCAACAAGCACGTAAGCAAAGATATGGATAGGGATATCCCAGACAACCCCTGAGAATTACGCCAGTAGTGTAGGGTAAGGACGCAGAAAGCAGGTAAGCAAACATCCGGATAGGGTTCCCCGTAGAATTAAGTCAGTATTGTAGAGATATCCGTTGTGAAAGCTCATGCATACTTTGTTGGGACTTTTGGCCTTAACTTTGTAGGCTTCCTGTGCTGATGAACCCAAGTACCCCCCCCATCACCATAATCGCGCCTAAGTCTTAAGCCCTACAACCTTACACCATGCACCCTTGATTCCTTAACCTTTTTTTCCATCGGGGCGGGGTAGGGAGCGCCAGCAAATCAAACAGGGACACGCCAAACCTTCATGTGATTAAGAAACTCCCGAAAAGAGTGTCCGGCTCAGAGGAAGGTGGGAGGCTACCGTCACGTCGCGGCCTCAGGTCGCGCTCAAGCACTTGCCTCCAGCAATCGCCGAACTTCATCGTGTCCTGACGAACTAGGGCTTGCAAGGTTGAGGTTTTGTGTACCGCAGAATGTACCATGCTATACTACGATGCACATAGGCTATACTTTACCAGGTACCAGTACCCTAGTTCATGGTTTGAGCTTCAGGGTTAGCAGGCTTTCCGGTGCGGTCTCCTCTTGACGTTGCCAACATCAGCGCCGTGCAGCCATGAACGCGCACGTCCTTGTCAGCCCCGGCCTCTAGGAGCAACTGCACGACTTGGGCATGGCCGTTGCCTGAAGCTTGCATCAATGCTGTATATCTGGCACCGCATTCCAACTCGTGGACGTCCTTCGCAACGCCGGCCTCAAGAAGCAACTCCACGACTTGAGCATGACCATAACCTGCTGCAAGCATCAGGGCTGTAGTATCGCTCCGATAGCAAACCTGGTCCACCTGAGCCCCATTTTCCAGCAGCAACTTGACGACGGGAGCATGACCGTTCATTGCCGCAAGCATCAATGCTGTATGATGACCGTCGTTCAAATACACCTGAGCCAGGGCCTCGGCCAGGGGATTCGCTTGTTTCGCCGCCTGAGAGTCCCTTCTTCGATATGCTATACTATCCCCCTTCCAACAACGGTTCTGATTAAACATAGACACCTTCGAACCCTGCAAAAAGGTCTCTCGTTTTTGTCTTTGCCCTCATCCCTGAACCCTGAGCCCTGGTTGCTGGGAATAACTGCACTCTACAAAACCTACCTTTTTAGGGCTCCTTCTTGTGATTTCCTCGTTTAGATCTTTGGGTAGGCCTCTTGGGGTTAAGGCAAGAGGTTCCCGGCCTCCAGGAGCAGCGCAACGACCTGAAGTCTTCCTTCCAGACACGCGCCCATCAGCGGAGTCGGCTCCGGCTCCAACGTATGAAAATTGTGGCCTCTCTCTGGCTTTAGGGTAGGGTTTAGGGTCTGGGTTTGAGACAAGGGTCTAGGGTGTAGGATTTAGGGTCTAGAATGTCGAGGGTCTAGTGCAATCTTGCCTGTATCTGGGTGCAATGGCACTTGTAGCATCTCTTCAACCTCGGGAAGCAAGGGTCTCGTGTTCAGTAGGGTTTAGGGTTTAGGGTTTAGGGTTTAGGGTTTAGGATTTAGGGTTTAGGGTTTAGGGTTTAGGGTTTAGGGTTTAGGGTTTAGGGTTTAGGGTTTAGGGTTTAGGGTTTAGGGTTTAAGGTTAGGGCGTAGGGAACTCATGGAAGGAATTGGAACCCAAGAAAGTAAGTTCTACAGGGTCCAGGTGGGGAACCATGGCCCGAAGGCAAGACCTCAACATCAGCTACTAGGCGTAGATACTGCCCTACCGCTACTACGGCATACATGCATCATGAAACCTGTGATCTAACCCCTAAAACCGTATGCCGGTAACCTTGTCCACCAGCGACAAGAACTTTTACCGGTACCCTGCCTCGGCAAAGCGACCCGACCGAGCCGCTTCGTAGAGCTTTGCCCTCTGCGCCTCTGCACCAAGTAATTCATGAACGGGCTGCGCTAGTGTCAAAACCTGGAGGTCCATCGCAGAGTCCAGCCTGACGGCATCATCTAAGATGTTGCCCTCGTGAAAAACTCGTTGGCAAAAGCGTTGTGGCAGGCCGTGGTGCTGACACAATCGCCACTTTAAAGCTTTCACATCACTCAGATCCGTGCAAGGAATTGTTGTCAACTCTTCGCCCGAAAGCCGCGTGATGCGTAGCATGAAGATCAAGCCGCAGAGATTGGCACGAATTACGTGCACAGGTTTCGGTGTGTTTCGGGCCTTCGCGCGCGTGTCACGTAATGGGGCTGTATTAAGAAGGGCGTGAATTTCTTCGTCACTTGAAGACTAGACATGCATGTTGAACACTCCGAACTGACAAAAAGTTCGCAGAGGAGAGCAAAAGATCAAACGAAACGCCAACCCTATACCCTAAACCCTGTAACCCCAAACCCTAAACCCTGAACCCTAAGCCTTCCTCAAATATCAGAATCTCGAATCGCCATTCTGCACCGCCTGTAGCCCCAAGACCCCAAGGGCGGAGACCCAAGCAGCGATCCCAAAACCCCAAACAAAACATTTGGGGTTTAGGGTCTAGGGTTTAGGGTTTAGGGTTTTAGGGTTTAGGGTTTAGGGTTTAGGGTTTAGGGTTTAGGGTTTAGGGTTTAGGGTTCAGGGTTTAGGGTTTAGGGTTTAGGGTTTAGGGTTTAGGGTTTAGGGTTTAGGGTTTAGGGTTTAGGGTTTAGGGCTTGGGCTCAGGGATTGGGGTTTAGGGTTTTGAGGCTTAGAGTTTAAGGCTCAGGGTTGAGGTTTTAGGGTTCGGCAATAAAACGGTGCTGTAATGCTTTTGTATTTGGGTACTACAAACGCGCCACAAGGCTACTATAAAGGGTACTGTGAGGGTTCTGAAAATGGGTACTTTAGAACATGTCCGGGTTTCTTGGAAAGTCTGATAATTTTGGGGCTGAGATTCGATGGTGCTACGCAGCCGAAGCTATCCATGTAATCTTGCCAACATCCCAAGTTCCACAAGCCACAAAAAGACCGTACAGCACAGCAGATTTGTTCAGCACGCCCAAAACCCCAAACCCTAAACCCCAACACTCATAGCTGCAAACTAAAACCGACAACACAAATCCTAAACCCTAAATGTCTTACCCCCGAGACGCTAACCTTTGAACCACCCAAACGAAACCGAAACCAGAAACCACAACCTTCAAGGTAAAAGGACTTGTAAACCCATTGCATGTCGGTTTAGGGTTTAGGGTTTAGCCTAGCACTATTGGGGCTACAACTATATCGTAGGATACCAAAAAACACCAAAACCTACCTGTTTCGTAGGGCCCGTATACATTTCTATATTGACGTTCAAAATTGCAACCTACAAACGACATAGGTTCCATGGATGTTGTATGGTGTTGCTGAAAGTCTTCGATTTTGTCATGTGGTGTGGTTGGCCTGCAGCTTAAATCCTGGCTTGGATTCTGTTTGTGGCACACACGCTGGACAAAAAACCACGGGTTCAGATGTTTCGAATGTCTCAAAACTGCGCAGGGGCGAGGGTTTTCATGATGGATGATGGATGGATGGATGGATGGCGTGATGGATGTCGTCGGTTTCTCTTAAGCACAATGCGTTAAAGAACGGGATAAGGTTGGCAGGACTCGCTGCACCTGCCCAAAAGTCGCGCAGGCGCGTGGGAGGCGTTCGCATGTTCGTCTGCATCCGCGAACGACAACCTTCTCCGTGTCCTGGGTGCATCGTTGCGCTGGTGCATGGGAGGCGTTTCAGTCCACAAAGGATTCCGCGCGTTCTTGGATGTCGTGATGGACGGCGGGCGGTGAAGGTTCTTCGTTATCGTTGAT